AAGTATCTGTCTTTGGTTTTGAATAATAAAGAAGAGTTAGTATACTTTTGAATCCAAAATATATCTGTTATGTCTGTTTTCCTTTATTTTCAGAAAGATGTTGTGAAGTTTTTCTCTTGGTGTCTTCTTTAAGTATTTCTTTGAGTATTTTGGATGTATTACTAAAAAAGGAAATTTTTAAGAATTTTGAAATTTGCGGGAAAGAGTTTTTTTTTTAAAATTTTTTAAAAATTATATTTTAGAATAATTATTAAACAGTTTAGATTTAAGCCTATTAAAAATCTATAGAATATTGTAAAAAATAAAATAGAAAAAAAAATGCCACAATATATTAATATTTTAATAATTTATAATGAAAAGTGAAATAATATTTCAATAATTATTTTAAATAACTTAATAAAATTATAAAATATTATTATAATTTAATTATTAAGTTAGAATATAAAATTGCTTTATATTAATATTAATAAAGATTGATATATACTGTAAGTAGTAAGTTTTAAAATAATATATTTTTGATAACAAATTAAATTACAAATTAAAGTATAATAAATAATTTTTTAATTTTGATTATCTTTGTTTCGTATTGTATATATTTATTTTAGAATATATTGTTAAAATTTTATATAAATGGCTTTTGTTTAAAGAAATTATTTACATTTATGTTGCATAAAAATTTTTTGCAATGCACTGTACGTTATTTTTAATGTCAGTTGTATAATATATAAGTATATATTAATATATTATAATATAATTTATTTCTTTTAACTATAAAAAAAAATTTTTTTTCTTTATTTTTAAATTGTTTACATTGATTTTTTTAATAATGAAATTAAAAAATTTTTGAAACGTATGAAATATCGATAAATGTTATTTTATTACTGTATATACAGTGTATTTAATTGCTACATAAAGTGTTATAAAATTTCAATGATTATATTATTTCAAAAATGCTCCGAGATTAAACTTTATTGAAACAATTGTACTTACAAAATATCAATGAAAAAATGAATATATATTTATTTAAAGTATAATCTGATGCAGTTTAATAAGATTAATTGCTTTATGAAATCAAAATTATATTCTATGATACACCCAAATAACGATTCTACCATACGTTCTAAGATCGTCTATTTTAAAGAAATTTATTATGACATTTAGATGGATGCTTTTCCAATGGTGTGTACACGAAATCCTATGGATTTCAATCTTTCGGCATCAAGAATAAGACGTCCATCAAAAATGAACGCGGGTTTATGCATTTTCTCGTAAATCTTTTCATAGTCCAACACCTTTAAAACAAATAAAGGTAAGAATCTGCTAATCAATGACCAAACAACCTGTAACAGTAAACAGTAATCACCACTATCAACAAGAGATAATTGGAAGAGAAGTCAACATAAACAAACAAACCATGGAAAACACAGGTGGAAATGAAAAAGATGTTCAAACACCTTCTTTCCAAGAACACGGAGAATCAGTTCATGCTTCAAACATTGCAACACAAATGGACATTACGCAAACAGAAGAAGATCTCAACAACGAATC